GGCGATTTTCATTTGGCTTGATCTCTACTTGCTTGCTTGCTCTTCTATATCTCAAAAGAGACTGATTTATGACACACCCTACACTAATATTGCCTTGTTAACATAACAAAGAAAACCCATTCCCACTTGGGATTATAACCAGAGATATAGGGGTTAGGATTTACAACACATATTTGGGGGACAAAGTTCAATCCAGAACAGTGGGATTCTTTTGCATGTGGATATCCAGTTTTCCTGGCACCAGTTGTTGAACATATCTTTCTTTTTAACTGTTCTTTCCTCTTTATTTACCATCACTGTAAATATTTATATCAATAGTACCTGCAAATGTGCAAGACAAATAATAAAAGGCTGTGGGGTACACAGTTTGAAATAAGAACTCTGTCTTCCCTTGGGGAGCTTATGTCTAGTTGAGATTGATGGTGGCATATACACATGAAATTGTTAAATGGTATAATGAATTAGTGCCAGGAGAGTGGTGGAAAGAACGGAATTTATTAGGAATTCAGAAGAGTCTATGGCAGAGAGGTTTGCAGAGGAGATGAGAACATTGAGGTTAGGTAAGTTTAGGTAAAGAAAGATCGAGAACGGCCAGAACAGAGGTGCTGAAGGAGTTAGACTATTTTGGTCCAAAGTTGGTATAGAATACCTTTTAGACAGCTTTTGAAATTTCCAAAAGTACCAAGTTTTCCCTTAGCCTAAATTATGTTATTTGGCTTTGGAAGCACCAGATATATAATTTGTACAACTATACTTTAGGATAAGGGCAGTTTCTATTTTGACTACCTCAGATTGGATGGACACCTTATGGGCATTACCTTCTGTTTATCTTTTTCCTTCTCTCAGTGGTTATCATTGGACCAGCCTTACTATATTCCTTCTTCAGAGTTCGCATAACCTCTAGGATTTCTTTTCTTGAAACTGTCTAAACTATTCTTCTCGTGGTCACTAATAGCTTCCATGTTGTAAATCCAGTGGTCAGTTCTCTGTCCACATCTTACTTGGCAGAGCAGTGCATTTAACCCAGTAGATTACTTCGTCTTCCTTGACACATTTTCTCCACTTCGCTTCCCCAACACCACACTTCATCTTGATTTTTCTCCTACATCATGATTAGTGCTTCAGTAGTCTTTGTCAGTCTCCTCCTCCAGTTCCACTTTATTTCACCTCATAAACTTAAGAGTTCCCAGGACTTAGTCCTTTTACCACCTCTCTATGTATGCACTGACTCCCTTGGAGCCCTGGTGGCGCAGTGGTTACTAGCTCAGCTGCTAACCAAAAGGTTGGCAGTTCGAATCCACCAGCTGGTCCTTGGAAACCGTTTGGGGCAGTTCTGCTCTGTTCTGTAGGGTCGCTATGAGTCAGAATCAACTTAACGGCAACGGGTTTGGTGTATCTCCAGCCCTAAACTTACTCTTGAACTCCAGACTTTTGTATATCCAGCTGACTCTTCCATGTATCCACTGGGGCATCTGCCTTAGTTACCTACTGCTGCTGTAACACAAATACCACGAGTAGTTGGCTTTAAAAATTTATTTTCTCACAGTTCTGGAGGCTAAAAGTCCAAATGAGGGTCTTGGTTGTGTCGACTTCTTCCTTTGCAGTAGCCTCGGGTGTTCATTGGTGATCTTCATATGGCATCTGTCTTCCCCCGCGTGTGCTCATATTTCTGTGTCTCTGCTGCTCTTTAAAGAGCCCTGTTGGCTCAGTGTTAAGCACTCGGCTGCTAACCAAAAGGTTGGCAGTTTGAACCCACCAGCTGCTCTGTGGGAGAAAGATGTGGCAGTCTGCTCCTATAAAGATTACAGCCTCGGAAACCCCATGGGGCAGTTCTACTCTGTCCTGTGGGGTTGCTGTGATTTGGAATCGACTTGAATGGCACACAACAAAAACAACATGCTGCTCTTTATATAATTCAGAAGTGACGAGGTTTAGGGTCCACACTACACTGGCATGACCTCAAAAAACTGATTATATTACATTAGATTGCATTATGGAAGGTGATTAAGGAGCCCTGGTGGCGCAGTGGTTAAGCCCTCAACTGCTAACTGAGAGGTCAGGGGTTCGAACCCACCAAGCTGCTCCGTGAGAGAAAGGTGTGGCAGTCTGCTTCCTTAAAGATTACGGCCTTGGAAACCCTATGGAGCAGTTCCACTCTGTCCTGTAGGGTCACTGTGAGTCAGAATCGACTCGACAGCAGTGTGTTGGTGGTACAGTGGTTAAGCACTTGGCTGCTAACCACAGAGTTGGCACTTCGAACCCACCTAGCAGCTCTGCGGGAGAAAAGACCTGGTGATCTTCTCCTGTAAAAATTACAGTTTAAGAATCCCTGTGGGGCAGTTTTACCCTGTCACGTTGGGTTGCTGTGAGTCAGAATCGACTTGACAGCACCTAACAACAGTGGAAGATCATTCCATTACATTCACAGGTATAAGGGTTAGGTTTCTAATACATATTTTTGGGGACACAGTTCGTTCTATAATAATGACTGTTAAAAACCTCAAATTTAACAAGCCCAAAACTGAACTCTTTATCTCTTATCACCCCCTCATACCTGCTCAGCCTTTAGTGTTTTTCATCTTTTTTTTTTAATTGTTGTGCTTTAAGTGAAAGTTTACAATTCAAGTTAGTCTCTCATACAAAAATTTATACATGCATTGTTATATGACCCTGGTTGCTCTCCCTGTACTGTGACAGCACACTCCTTTCCACCCAGCATTTCCTGTGTCCATTCAACCAGCTCCTGACCCTCTCTGCCTTCTCATCTCACTTCTGGACAGGAGTTGCCCAGTTAGTCTCATGTATCTACTTGAGCTAAAAAGCACACTCTTACCGAGTATCATTTTATGTCCCATACTCCAGTCTAATCTTTGTCTGAAGAGTTGGCCTCAGGAATGGTTTTAGTTTTGGGCGAAGTGTTTTTCATCTTAATTGAAGAGAACTCCATCTCTCTAGTTGATTCAGGCCAAAAACTTTAGAGTCATCTGTGACTCCCTTTTCTCTTCCTCTTTATCCAATCAGGAAATCCTGTTGACTTTACCTTGAAAGTATATCCAGAATCCAACCATTTCTCACCACATTCACAGATACCGTCCTGGGCAGAGCCACTGTCATCTCTCATCTGGATTGCTGCCACAGCCTCCTAACTTATCTCCGTGCTTCCGTCCTTATATTCCTATCATCAGTGAGAGCCACCATATTAAAATGTTAAGTCAGTTCACGTCCCCTTTCTGCTCAGAACGTTGCAGTGGACCTCCCTTTCACAGTAAAAGCCAAAGTTCCTACGATGCTGAAAAGGTTCTACAATACCAGGATCCCCCATTATCTCTTAGACCTCCTCTCCTGCTATTTGCTTTGCCAGAAATCTACTCTAACCATATTGGCCTCTTTGTTATTCCTTGAATAGTCTAGGTATATTTCTGTGATAGGGCTTTTGTCCCTTCTACCTGGTATGCTTTTCTGGGTGATTCTGATGTAAATTAAGAACCACTACTATATAATGTTGGGTAGGATTTCAGAAACCAGGCCTGTTGTTTGTAGGCGGGGATATGTAGATATCATATATGAGGTGATTGACAGACATCATGACTGGATTTGTTCTCTCCCTGTCTCTTCCCCCTTCCTTTTTCTTGGTGGGGAACAAGGTTGGTAGAGGGAGGTGGTGTTGTTAGCTACCGTCAGGTCATCTACTGACTCATGGCAACTCTCTGCACAATGGAATGAATTGCTGCCCGGTCTTGTGCCATCCCCATGATCAGTTGTGGGTTGTGGATCAGACCATTGTGATCCATAGGGTTTTTATTGGCTGATTTTTAGAAGTTGATCACCAGGCTTTTCTTCCTAATCTGTCTTAGTCTAGAAGCTCCACTGAAACCTTTTCAACATCATAGCAACATGCAAGCCTCCACTGACAGATGAGTGGTGGCTGTGCATGGGGTGCATTGGCTGGGAATTGAACCTGGGTATCCCTGATGGAAAGCGAGCTTTCTACCACTGAACCACCACTGGAGCACCAGGAAAGAGGTTGATGTAAATTATAGTAACTTTTAGTTGATTTATCATGTGTGTTGGGGGTCCCCAAAATCACCTCTAGGTTAACTGATTCACTAAGAAGGCTCACAGGACTCAGCATATAGTCGTACTTAAAGCAAAATCAGCAAAGGGAGAAACGAAAAGGCACATGGGGCAAATTCTAGAGGAGGCAAGGAGCACGCTTCCAAGAGTCTTTTCTCCATGAAGTCATATAGGATGTACTTAATTGCTCCAGTATCAAATTGTGACAGCAAATGTGAAATGTTGTCTGTCAGGCAAGCTCATTAGAGACACAGTGCCCAAGGTTTTTGTTGGGGCCTGATCACGTGGCCAGATTCCCATAAGGAAAGCAGGTATGTAAGCATAAACCACGTTGTTCGCACAAACAGTCTAGGCACAGCGAGCCACTCTTAGGATGGTGGGAACCCTCCCAAATCTAAGTTCCCAGATGCCAGCCAAGGGCAAGCCTTACAAGATCCCTTTCTAAGGATAGTAATCAGAGCTGCTATGCCAGCTCTTTCTGCACATCATGGTATACAGAGAAATTTGGGGGTTTGCTTTTGCTTCTACTTCCTTTTTTATATGGAATACAAAGCATTTAAACCAATCATCTCTTTTGGAAATTTAGTAACAACCCAAATATTTTGGGAATGATTTGGATAGCTTACTTTAGCTGGGTTTAATAAGTGGATTTATTTACTTAGACATTTTCTGAAAAATGCTTGGCAGTATTATTCACAGCCTATGCTGATTTTAATAATTAGAAAAGTAGTTTACTTCATAGTAAAATTTTCTTATTTCCAAAAATAAGAAAATTAAGATATCTTTCCTTAGTACTTACTTGAAAAACATCATCTATGAAAAACAACATCTACTTCTCTTCCCTCTTCCGTGTTCCGAAGGGCCTCTTTGAAACTTGCCATCTTTGGGTTTGCTTTTGTGAGTAACTGATCTTTCCTTTTTTATAGGCCAAGATGCGGAATTATCAGGGACACTTTCTCTTGTTTTGACACAATGCTGTAAAAGAATAAAGGACACTGTTCAAAAATTGGCCTCGGACCACAAAGACATTCACAGCAGTGTTTCTCGAGTTGGAAAAGCCATTGATAAGGTACGTTATTGAAGGAAGTGTTTTGTATTTTTTTAGCATCATCCTTCATCTGATGTCAGTACTTTAATAACATTAGCTTTGTGGAATTATTTTATGATATTCCTTTCACCTTTGCTTTTGAATAACTTTTGCAGGTTTGGTTTTACTGTTATTCTTAACCCAGGTTGCACATTGCTATTATTTAAAACACACACACACACACAGACACACACACACACACAGACACACACACACAGACACACACACAGACACACACACACACACACACCCCCCCCTTCTTTTATAGCCTTGCTGTTTATCCGTCTTCTTACATGACTTGAGCTTCTAGGATCGTAATGAGTAAATTTCCAAAGAAATTTTAACCCCGTGTGTGTGAGTTTGTTTACAGAAGTAACTTTTCATACTTGCTGAGTAATTCCCTGGCTGTGACTCTCTCCTGTGAGATAATTAGAGTAACACCCTTGCATCTGTCTCCTCTGCATCATGCTAACCCTTGTTGTCTTCTTGTGGGCATGCTAGTTGCTTTTCTCCAGTGTTGCCTTCTAAGTGTGAGTGAGTGGGTTGCTAACCAACAAGGCTAGTCACGTTTGTTGATTGAATTTTTCTTGTGACATCTCTTGAGTGAGCAGTCTTTGACTTAGTAGTCAACTTACAAGCAGTTAACCATTTTTAGGACTGGGCCAGTTTTTCCCATGGAGTTCATGGTCCTGGTAGGGCCTAAAGGAAGTAGCCCAAGGTTACAGTGTGACATCTGTAACTACTTCAGCCATGTGGAGATTGAGACTGGCTATGGGCATTTCTGTTCACACATTATAAACTTCTTCTAGGAGGGTAGGGAGAATGTTTGGGAGAGGTCTTTGTAGCATAAGCATCTCCTAAACAGTCCTGTAGTTGCTTGCTCTGTGTATGCACAAGAACGATAGCTATAACATAGCTAGAGGATCCTGGAATCCAGAGAGTGGCTCTGTCTCACTCACGGGTAGGCCCAGCTGTTAGAAGTTATCCTATAGAGCAGTAGCATTGAGAGGCTTGAGTATTTGATGCAGCCTAAGTCAGAACTAAGGAGCACTGGTGGCACAGTGGTTAAGAGCTCAGCTGCAAACCAAAAGGTCAGTGGTTGTAACTCACCAGCTGCTTCATGGGAGAAAGATATGGCAGTCTCCTTCCATAAAGAGTACAGCCTTGGAAGCCCTGTGGAACAGTTCTACCCTGTCCTAGATGAGTTGGAATCAACTCGATGGCAGCAGGTTTTTTGATAAGTCAGAACCGTATGCTTCTGTCACAGATTGAATTGTGTCCCCCCGAAATATGTGTCAACTTGGCTAGACCATGATTCCCAGTATTGTGAATGTCCTCCATTTTGTGATCTGATGTAATTATCTTTCATTTTGTGATGTATTGTAAACCCTGACCTCTATATGTTAATGAAGCAAGATTAGTGTAGGGTGTGTCTTACTAAAGGATGTGACTCAAGTCACCCCCTTACTCAAGTCACACCCTTGCTTTAGTCACACCTTTTATCTTACAAAAGATAGAAGGAGAGAGAAATGAGCAGAGAGGAGAGGGACCTCACTATGACCAAGAAAGAATTGCTGGGAGCAGAGACATTCTTTGGACCTGGGGTCCCTGTACTGAGAACCTCCTAGACCCGGGGAAGATTGATGTCAAAATACATGGAGATCTCAAAGGAATGCTGGGCCCACAGGTGTTGAAAGGAGACAAGGACCTGCTGACAGAGGGAAAGCCTTTCCCTAGAGCTGGCACCCTGAATTCAGACTTCTAGCCTCCTAAACTGTGAGAGAATAAATTTCTGTTAAAGCTATCCACTTGTGGTATTTCTGTTATACCAGCACATGTACAACAGAATGAAACACTGCCTGGTCCTGTGCCATCCTCATGATTGTTGCTATCCTTACAATCTGCCACTGGTAGGTGACCATATTTCCCCATTTCGTAGCTTTTGTCTATTATTCTGTCATAGTTATTATTGGAACCCTCTTTTGTTCTCACAAGTGTCCAGGATTGTCCTCTCTAGCTACAGGTGACTTGTTGAGTACATCTGCCTCCTGATTACAGATATTCATAAGATTGTCATATAGTTTGGTTAATCTCTGAGGCAAAGCATTTAGATATATTTGTGCCAAAGATGCAAGTATCTCTTTGAGAATGGATACCAGGTGTCTTAGGCTGGGTTCTCTAGAGAAGTGAAACCAAACCAAAAACCAAACCCATTGCTGTCTAGTTGATTCCGACTCGTAGTGACCAGTGAAGCATATATATGTACACGTGTGTGTGTGCGTGTGTGTGCGCGTATTTGTATACACACACACACGTATAAAGAGAGATTTATCTTGAGGAAATGGCTCACGCAGTTGTAGAGGCTGGCAAGTTCCAAGTCCATGGGTCAGGTGTTAGGCTGGAGGCTTCTTCTGACTCACATAGCTGCAGGGGTTGACGAACCCAAGATCAGCAGGTCAGACGGCAGGCCACTGGTTCATGGGCTGTGTAGGCAGACAGATCCAAGATCAGCAGGTAAGATGACAGGCTGCTGGCTCAGGCTGTGGAAGTCATCAGATCTCAAGATCAGCAGGCAATATAGCAGGCTGTTGTCTCAAGAATTTGGAGGGCAGATGATGACGAGCCGGATGCAGGATCCAGAACAAGCGAGCGAGCTTTGCCAGAACGTGTGTATATACATATATTGGATGCAGGCCACACCCCAAAGGAAACACCCCTTAAGCTGATTGACTGATCACATCACATCACATCATGGAGAATGACTACATCATTACATAACTGCCAAACCACTGAGAATCACGACCCAGCCAAGTTGACCACAAACTTAACCATCAAACCAGGGGAACACATTTATAGTGAATGATCTCCTACTTTCTGGCTTTTTGTTTTTTCGGTTGGTGATGTGTTTGAGGGCAAATGTTTCTAATAATTTACTCATTACTTTTTTGAGGATATTTTTGCATGTATTGGAGCCCTGGTGGCATAGTGGTTAAGAACTCGGCTGCTGACCAAAAGATTGACAGTTCAAATCCACCAGGCATTCCTTGGAAACCCTATGGGGCAGTTCTGCTCTGTCTTTTAGGGTCGCTATGAGTCGGAACCGACTCAACAGCACCTAACGACAACAAGAAAGTTACAAGGACTTTTTCAAGTAATTTTCTTCTGTGGTTTCTTTCATAATACTTGTTTTTATGTTCCTGTGAAAGTAGTTTAGGTACAAGATGACTTGGATTTTCCCCTTCTCCCTGAGATTCTGAAGTTTCCTGATCCATCATATGAAACTACGTTATTTAGTTGATAATGATAAGTATTTGTTGAATTATAGTCCAGGATCACAGAGGAAAGCCTGGGTCTTTTAGCCCAGTTCTCTGTGTTTCAGTGTACTCTCCCCCAGTGCAGACACAGTTTTTTGGGCATCTAATTTGCCTCAACTATAAAGGAAGCAGTTTTTCCAGAACTGCGTAGACATTGTGAATGGGTCTCTCACATGAGGAATTCTGTGCAGGCTGTTTTCATATAAGCCTCCATTGACTCGTAAAGTCCTCCAACTGTTAGTTTGAACCTGGTAAATTTGTACAAGCTTTAGGGGCAGCCTGTTGTAAATGCCGGGCAGACTCACATGAATTGGTGATGAGCAAACAGGATGAAGCTGAAGCCATTGTGGAACCAGGCTTTTAAATACTACAACAAACAGACTTGAGTAGTAAGCTGGAATGCCATCCAGCAGCCTCTGAGCACCATGTTACAGACACACGGTCCCACCCTCACAAGAGGGAGACAATCAGAGAAGCAGGTGGCTCCTTTATGAGCAAGCTGGTTTAGAGTGAGAAACTTAAATAAATTTTTGATGTGCTAGGTAACTTTCTTCCCCTTTAATGGTTCAATACTTCTCATCCTTTAAAATTCTCTTATCATTGCTCTTCTGAGAATGTAAGCAGAAAAAAAGTTTGTGGTGTTAGCCAAGTCATTTTTTGGCTTGTAAGTATTGCAAAAGGAACTTAAAAAGTTGTTGAAGATTTCTGCTTAAATATGTTGACTGTTTTCAGATGCCCACTATAAGAGCACTATTTAAAATAAACAGCAGCCTTTGGATTCCGTAACAAATATTTTTTTAGTAAACACATATACTATGTTGGATTATTTTCAGTTTCTTCCCTTATTTTTAGAAAATCTAGAATTCTGTCCTGTTTAGGGCATTTTATTCAGTGTTTTACTTAGTCTTTTGACTGTGTGTGTGTGTTTACTACCTAAGAAAAGTCAATAGAAATGATTACTGCTTTAGACTTCCAAGTATGTATGTGTTAAAATAAATGTCTGAAATCTGCTATGGGATAGATAAAAGCTAAAAACGTAATCCACGTTATTTATAAAACCACAGTTTAGTTTGATCATCTAAGAATGCTTTTTGTACGCATGAAATAGCTAGAAAAATTCTAAGGCAATATTAAATAAGTTTGCGTGGGATGGATACTGCTTACCCTGAAGTAAAGGGAATATTAATCAAGTGCTTTTGATTAATCCAGGTATGTGGAGTTTGTATGTTAAATTTGGCTTGGAAGAATAGGTAAGATTTAGAGCAGCAGAGCAGTAAGTGTGATTTTCTGCTGGGATGGTAAAGGGGGCAAAACAACTGAGAATAATCTTGACTTACGTTAGAGATGTAGGGACTGACTCGATTAGAGTGGCTGTCCCTGTCAGGCATAGGGAAAGATCAGATTAGGGGAAGGCAAATGATGGAAGACCTAAAGGGTGTGGATTTGATCCAGCAGGAGAATAGGGAGAAGGGAGCCAATGATGAAAACAGGTGAGGATTTGCTTGACCTCATTAAATAGGATGAAATTAGACGAAGGAGAAATCAGGGGTAGGAAGATAATAGCTGTCACTTGTTGACTATGTGACAGCATGTCATTTAACATGTTGACTGTGTCCTAGATACTGAGCCCAGTGCGTTACACAGTTTTTTCTCATGACGCTGTTGTTA